ATGAGTGTGTGTGTGTGTGTGTGTGTGTGTGTTGTGCATGCAGTGATTCCCTTCCCCTGCCCCAGCTGTCTCCTTAGCTTTAACAATAGGCCTGGTAACAAAGACGTGGCCTTCAGCCTCCGTCATGTGATACTAGTGGTCTGCAGCCTCTCAGTCAGATGACCCAGGCTATTGTCCTCTATGGGTGACACACACTTGCACACCCACACACACACACACTTGCACACACACGGAAGCACAGAACACACACACCAATCCAAGGAAACACAGCACGTGTATGAACACGCACACACACACAGATTCTGACTGTAGCGTGCAGAGATACGAAGACACACGCAATGGTTGCACACAAAAAAAAAAAAGATACACACACTCATGAGATAGTGAGAACAGACGCACACACACAGACGCAATCTCAGGACGCAGACCCTTCCTCTCAGTCACATGCAGTCTGAACAAAGAGAAACTTTATTGCCATTGTCCTGATGACAGTGAGATCAGTGACTGATTGACAAAAGAGCAGCAGAGAAAGGAAACATATTGCTGATGTCCTGGAGGAACCCCCAGCCTCCACTTTTACCTTTAATTTTGAAAGGCAGCTGTGACCCTGAGGGGTCCATGATAGAGAGACGAAGATTTATTTGACGTCAAACGGCCAATTATTTTTTAACTTCATGTGTATCCTGCAAAACGTGTCTCTCCAGCGCGGTATTTCCTGCTTCACTTTGGAATGGCTGCTATCTGCCTGGTGCAAATATGGGTGACTGTGTCAAACAACCCTGCACCAGGCAGGTTATAGTGTGTGCTACTTATGTACTGTATGTACTGTGCGGCTGGAACGTAGAGGAACTCCTCGCTCATTCCCTTAACAATTACAGTTAAAGCAAGGTTGAGCAAGGCACTCAATCTTGAGCTGCTTTGACCTATTTTGGGGCAAGTCAAAGTCAAGTCTCAAGTCCTGCCAATGCAAGTATTAAGTCATTAAGGGCAAGTCCAAGGCAACTCTTTCAGGTTTCTGAATGACGACAAAATGATGCTGCATTTGAATATTTTCTTTTCAAAGGCGCATTAATACTTTTTTTGCAATCCTGCAGCAAACTCCTTTCATTGGCCTTAAAATTAAATATTCAAGCCATGCAAGGCTTGCCTTTCATCGTCTTACTCATCCTTATTTTTTGCCTGTTCTTCGGACTTTAGTAGGCCGTAACTACAGACCTGAAGGTTTTTATTTTCTCGGGTCAAGTCTTCATCTTTCTGTCTACTGTAATCTGACTTGAGTCTCCCGCTGTGCCTACAACTCTGCCTTCTGTCTCTTGTGGCATTAATAGATGCACCTAAATGTTAAAAATTCTCCATCTCTCACACTAACAACATCCTAAAGGAGGACAGTTATAGATAGTCAGCATGTGTGTGTGGCAGCAAGAGAGGAAACAGAAGCTGATGCTCCAGAGGCTCACAGATAGAAAGAGGTGAGCACATATGCGTGCAGAATGGGTGTGTATATTTGGAGTTTCAAACCAAAACAACAATGTTTTGGACACAAATAAGGAAGTGTCCTTTTAATGCAGGAATCAGTATTTGCATGAGTTGGATGTAAGTAAAAAAGCCTGAGCATGCTCAGTCTGTTCAAGATTCAAATAAAAAAATAGATATGCAGATGGAGATGGAAAAATCAACATAAGGTGTTTGGCCACCTCCTGCTTAACTTCCTTAATCACTCTATATCTGATACAGACAGAACAGCTCAAGTATAATGAAGTATGAATTCCATTTCTTAGTTCCTGTGGAACGAGAAAGGATGAAAGGATGAAAGGAAAAAGACAAAGAGGAGGACAAGTCCTGAATGTATGTGTGTGTGTGCGTGTGTGTGTGTGTGTGTGGTTGTGTGGTTGTGTGTGTGTGTGCGTTCGTATTTTCCTGCCAGGGTCTGTGTGTGACTAAAGCCAGGCCTGATAGCAGGGAAAGAGAGGGAGAGTGAGAGAGAAGAGGAGGAAAAAGGAAGCAGATGCTTGTGTGTTGGCACAAAAAGATATGTCCACTCTCTCTCTCACACACACATACATATGCACAGAGCATTTGCTCGACCCACAGAAGGAGCAGCACATGAAAGAGTTCCAGTATTGTCTCAATGATAGAAAAATACTCTACTGACCAACAGCAAAGTGGACCTCAAGGCCACAGAGCGAATGAATAGCAACAGAATGGAGAGTGTCGAGGTGTGTGTGTGGGGTGAGGGTCGTCTGAAATTGAAAAGAGCAGCACCTTGCAGCAAGAGTAGAAAGATGGTTTGAAAAGGGACGAGCGAGACGAAAAATTATCAACGATCAAACCACACACATAAACGTAAGCTCATATAAAAACACGCGTAATAAGTGTACACGTCTACACACAGGGAAAGAGGTGGAAAGAGAAGGGACGATAGGCAAATACAGTCAGAGTCTTTCAGTTCGAACACCTTGAGAGTGAGACATATAGTGTCTGTACCGAGATTTCTTAAGAGTCTGGTGCTTGTGTTTCCTTTTGTGCAAGACGGTGAGTAGAGGTGAATAGGTAGAGCCAACTGAGCACACAAACAGACACACAGCACAGACAGAGACACATGTCTCTATCAGTTTCATGGTGACAGCGTGAAGAGAAAAAAGCATTAATCCTTTAGGAGACAGAGAGGGAGGTGGAGAAAGAGGCTTATATTAACAAGGGACAAGAGGAGGGGAGGCAGGGAGAATGGGAGGTGGGTATGAACAGGGAAGGTAGAGGAAGAATAGCAAGCTTTAAGGGTGCAAAGGAAGGAAAGATAAATGAGACAAAGGTCAAGGAAGTGCTTAGAGAATGTACATGACTATAAAACACGCTGCTTATTACCGAGCTTATTTTAACAACTATCATTTACTTCCACTATTAGTCAGTGACCTTTGTTACCTCACACAGAAAAAAACCTATTCTTCAGTTGCCGAGTCTTAAATTCAGAATTTCCTTCAAAACAAAGAAAAAGCTTCAAGATTCTGTTGCATTATCTTGATACTAGTTCAGTGATTTCCATTTGTCTTGTGTTATCTTTAAGATATTGCCACTTATTTCTAAAAAGAAGCTTCACCCTTACTGGCAAAAACTAAATGTAATTAAAAAGCTGAATAAAAAAAGACATGCTATAACTGCTGTACGGGAATCGGTGGAATCAGATTTTGGTACAAATGAACAGCAACAGTAGCATTCAAAGATAATATTCACAAGATTTGTCACTGATCCTTCAGCGCGAAGACTTATGGTATCTCTCAGAGGGCTTGGGAGAGATGTTGAGCAAAATAATTATGGTGTTTTGAATTAAAGTTTGTGATGAAGTGATTCTTCTGCTCACTGAAGGTTTCTTGTGTGTGTGTGTGTGTGTGTGTGCCAGAATGTGCTGCCGTGCCACACTGTATGGATGAAGTGAGGATAGTCACTGATAAGTTATGCGTATATTTTCTGCACGATTATGCTGTCTATGTTGATGTTCTACATGGGTGTGTAACTTGAGTCTGTGTTAAGTTAAAATGGGGCAGTGTATCTATAAAGAAGTAACCTACTTATAAAAGGCTCTCCTTTATTCTAAAAATAATTTTTAGTGCAACACTGCCCTTTTGTGCTTGTGGTCTGCACTGTAAAAAATGACTAAATTAGCAAAGCAGACGTCACTGTTGCTAAGTGCTTACTGCTTGGTGCTGTTTATGCACTTCAGGTCCCTTAGTGATGGTTTGCAGGTGGCACTCTTGTGTTTTCACTGCTCACTAGAAACATAATGCAAAAGAGCAAAACTACACCAAATTTTTAGAACAAATTTTGTTAAATCGCCACTTGTAAGCAAGATAGAGCTGTGAAATTAATATTTACATTCATGAAACTGTTGCAGATTTAAAAACTGCAACTAGTGAAACAGTTTAATTTGTTCTGAGAAGAAGAAGAAGTTTTGAAATTAATGTGGCTTTGTATTTGTCCTTCATATGTTTTGATTAAATGGGCCATAACTTTGCTAAAATGCAAATGAGACAGTGAGACAGACATGCAGATGATGAAACCATAAGACAAAGATTGATACATTTGCAAATGCAAATAACAATAGCATGCAACATAGTGGAAAATGGAAAAGCAAAAACAGATGAAGTGGCCTCAACGCAGGCGACATTTCCCGAAAGCAGCAAAGGCTTCCATCAGCACACTGAGAACTTTTTTTTTTTACTTCAAATAAGTGCGATGAGTTTGCCTGTGATGTATAATAAACACTCAGTAAGTTTTGATTTCTCAAATTTCCAAAAAGAGACGAGGGGCAGAAGAGCCAATGAGGAGGACGAAGAAGCGAGACAGCGAGGATGAGAGAGAGGAAAGAGATGAGGAGAAAAAGGGAGGGAGGGCGTCCCAGTAGGCCTCTTTGTTGGGCAGCGATTTAGAGATTTACAGGCTCTTGTCCTTCTGTGTGTGTGTGTGTGTGTGTGTGTGTGTGTGTGTGTGTGTGTGTGTGTGGGTGTGTGTGCGCGCGTGCGTGTGTGAAGAGAGAGTAATTGAGCCTCCCTTCATCCAATATTTACCCACCAAACCGGAGCAATCATGCGAATTATGTTTACTGGGAACCAAGTGTCTTTCTTCCTCTTTATCTTTCTTTCTCTTTCCCACTTTCCCCATTCCTCGCTCGCTCTCTCTCTCCTGGCAACTAGAAACCATATCAAGATCCAAGCCAGGAGTAAATCTCTCACACACACACACACACACACACACACACACACACACACACACACACACACACACACACACACACACACACACACACACACAGGGGAAACAGGCCGATCTGTATTGATGATGGCCTAATTTAGATCTCTTTATTGGACTGATTTACGACAGCCAGACAAATCTGGGCATCTGGACCCAAGTGCGTGTCTCTATGTGTGTTTGTGTGTTTGTCCAGTTGAGCTGATACCCAACAAGACACACAATATCCTCCCTGCTTCATTTCATTCCTGTTTCCCTACCTCTCTTTGAATCAGCGGTGTCCTTTTCTCTCCCCGTCCTAGTCTTGTTTCAGCACTTTGAGTCCTCTCGCCGCTGCGACGGTGACGCACGCCATCCTGAAACATTTTAAAAACACACAAATCATCGTGCTGAACGAGGCAGTGCCAAAGTCAGGCCAGGGCCCTTCTGAGGTCAAGGTCACTGAATCTCTTACTGTCCTAGTGTCCGTGGCGGATTTGGTTTCACAGCTCTTTGCGATTGAGATATCAAACAACGGACAGACGAGAACACAGGAAAAAGCAAAAGCAGAAGAGCAACATTCGAACAGGGCATCCAGGTTTTGTAGCTACACTGCATTTTACGTGTTCCACCGATGTACCTCAGTACAGTGAGAGTGCTTCAGTTTGTAGCTTGAAAGAGGTCAAAGATTAAGAATATTCACATCAGCAAGGGAAAAATATTAAGATGCTCCAAGAAGACATCAAAAACGGTGTATGAGTCTTTTCTTTTTTAAAGATGAGAGCAAATTTGAAAAACTAAAAGGTTGAAGGGATGTATTCCAGGAGGAAGAGAACGCCTCAAAGGCACATTCATCTTCAAGATCAAGCTCAGGTTTCAACTTTTATTTGTCCCACTGGGCAGTTTCACAGCAACTATTAAAAACAGCAGCTTGACTTTGGTGCTTTCTGTATTTCCTTGCAGAGGTAAAACAAGACGGTTTAGCCTTTTAAAATTACAGAAAGGTTTTGGCTCCTGCTGAGGTTTAATGATTTCTTTTGAAATGATTTTCTTTTTTGTAATTTTTGTTAAAAAGGGATTATTCCCATTCATTACAACGGGGGTCATATTTTTGTAGATCCCTTCCTATCTTTAACATTAGGATTGTACTCACCAAGTTAATTGCTGAAATCTCAAATGCAGCAGTATCCCTTAAAAGAGGAAACAAGCAGTCAGTTTATGATGTGTTAAGTTAGTCAAACCTGTGCAACAACTGTGGAGGGCAAATGTTAAAATGATATCACTTTATGAGCCAACTCTCTGGTTCAACTGTGACCTATCATGCTTGCTATCTGAGGGATTATGACTGACTGACTACTTCAACACCTCCAAATAAAGTCGTTTAGATGATCCGGCAAAACGGTTTGCTTGTTTACAACCTCTCTGATTGTCTCACTCATATCTTATCCTCTTGGACTTTCTAATTTTTTGTCCCCAGATCTAAGCAATTAATCCGTTGAGTACGATGAGATAGGACATGACAATCAAAACTACTACTAAGACCTGAGACCAGAACTTTTCCTTTAAAGTGTACAAATGTATAAAATCTACCACGTCTGCGTTGTAAATATGATCTGTAAAGTTTAATCTTTTGTGTGTGTATGAGAAAAAGCATGTAGGTGTGCATGTGTGTGTACAGTAGTGTCTATAGCGAGACAGTGACAGAGGGCCTCATTGAAATAACTGTGGTCTCAAGGGGCCAGCTAAAAAGAGAGAGAGGGTAGGTGAGGGTAGACAGAGTATATGAGAGTCCAGGGAATCATTTAGGGTGTGTGTGTGCGTGTCTGTGTGTGTGCGTGTGGGGTGATTCATCCGTTCTGGTGGCGGCTAACCTTGGCATGTCCTGCCACGCGTGACGGGGTTGCACCCAGACGGCACTCTCTCGTCCTCTACATGTGTGTGTTTGTTGGGGTGTATAGGTGCATGTACGTCGTCTGGAAGAGTCAGCCTCCCCTCTGTGTGTGTGTGTGTGTGTGTGTGTGTGTGTGTGTATGAGTGAGTGTGTGTCTGTGCATCTCCATGCAAAAAAAAGAGACAAAGAAGAAGAAAAAAAAAGCAGGGGGCAGAGAATCCTAGTCAGGTTGTTTAGTGTCTTTGAATGATCTTGCCCCCGGGAGAAAGGGCAGAAGAAAGAATGAAAAATGTGTTAAGAAGTGTGTGTGTGTGTGTGTGTGTGTGTGTACGCCATTGTTCTGCTGTCAAACACACACACAAGCGTGCACACACACACAGCATCAAAAGACACACATAAACACACACTTTGTGATGACAGTATATTTATGCCTGCATGTGGAAAGGACAATTGGATCCCTGCAATCCCTTTGCTCTTGTTTAAACTCTGCCACACACACACACACACACACACACACACACACACAGACTGTGACAGATCACAGACAACTGTTCACCTGCCTTTGTCAAGGACTGAGTGTGTCATCTGGCATTATGTGCGAGTGTGTGCATAAGGAACACCAAACACATGCACAGCTGGGAGCTGTTGAGAAAGGGGAAGTACATTTTGGGGAAGTTCAGAGCTGAAGAAGAACTTGGTACAGGAATAGTAATATATGAACACCTGAAACACATGCACACCTAATACTCCATCATTTTCAGTCACTTTTTATGTTTTCACTATTTAAAGAGCTCTGCATTTCTGTTGTGATTTTGTGGATGTGATTGTTTTTTTGACAGAATATTGTCTTTTAATGCATATTGGAAAAGAAAAAACTCAATTTATTAATAGAAACATCTATAAAAAATATAAATATTATTATTATTTATTCTATTCTGTAATATTCTACATGTCAAGTGACTTCATCTAGTAAATGTTCAATACTTTTATTGGAAGAAGTCTCAGTTTGTCCAATAATAAACCTCAAGATTCACATAACCACAAAAACGCTAAATACATTACATGAAATATATGTGCACAAAAGGATGTGTACTTTCAGTGGTGAGCGGGCTTTATGCTTTGAGAAAGGATAAATCCTAATGCTCATGTTCAGGTGTCCACATACTTTTGAGAGTAAATGCTCATACAGAAGTAACACAGTTCTGTACTTTTTTAAAAATCATAAACACAGTATTGTAACTTTAAATTTAGGAGCAGAAAGAGGAAGGTGATTGAAGGGAAATTTTTCAGTTCAAACAATTAAATCATGTATATCACTTATGATTCCTGTTTTCTGTCCCTCCTCCTTTGTCAACTCCCCCCCCTTCAGGTTCCCGATCGATTTCTGGAGGTGGCCCAGGTGACTCTTCGCGAGTTCTTCAACGCCATTGTGGCTGGAAAGGATGCAGACCCATCCTGGAAGAAGGCCATCTACAAGGTGATCTGCAAACTGGACAGCGAGGTTCCCGAGGTCTTTAAATCCCCCAACTGTCTACAAGAACTCCTCCATGACTGACTAAAGCGAGGGAGGAAACACGGCAAGCAAGACAAACCTCCAAGGACCGTGAGAAGACTGTAAGAAAATGCCTCCAAAAGGCGCAGTTAGACTAGGTTGAGGTCTTCAGTGAAATGCGTTTCATGGTGTTTGACATTCAATGAAGTGACTTTGAGGCTTCCACAGAGGTTTGTTGGTGGTTGTTTTTTGGTCAGCCCTTCTTTTAAAAAGACAAAACTGCCCTCCAAATGTTTTATAAAGAAAAAAAATATTCCTCTCCAGCGACTTCTACGAGGGCTCGGACTCATGAGTGAGACGATACTCAAATTAACAAATTATGTTGAGACTTTTATAAATTAAAAGCGAAATTGAACGTCCTTGCACTTACAGAATAGCTCCTCCTCGCCGAAAACCCCGTCGCCTCTTTCTCCTCCACCTCGTCCAAGCTCGCTCTTCATCAACGGGTGAGGGACAGATGACGGATCAATCTTCAGCCCATGACTTGAGGTCTGGAGCAAACTAAAAAGAAAGAAGATGATAATATATAAAATCTTTTTATTGTGGATGTTTTTAAGTTACATGGACATTTTGGGGGAAAAAAGTGTTGTTTCTGTATTTTTTCTCCTTTGTATAAGCTTACAGCCTCTCTTCTATAAACCTTCAGTCACTGACATAGATACACATGCACACACAAGCACACTGACACACACCTCTTGAATAGGAAAGCACAGTAGCATTCCCAAATCCTCACCCGAACCCAGACAAACTGGGCATAAACAAACTTAGTTGTTGTTTATTTCCCTTCTTTTTCCCCCCTCCTCTTTTTACTTCTCCCTCTTCTTACTGTACTGAGACGTACTGGGTGTTTTTTTGACTGTGTGGCTCTCCTTGCCCCACCCTTCCCTGGCTGCCCCTCTTGGCTCATGTTTGGATTCAGGCACCCGGAGCATCAAAGACATTTTACCATTTCATTTTCAAGAAATCTCTCGGATCTAGATACTTAGATATTAGGAAAACACGAGACAAACTGTATGGCAAGTTTATTTTAAGCCGTTGTGAATCCGATTGATCCGTTAACCTCAGTTACCGCACTTGTTTGGCTTAATTACTACAGAGCCGATGCTAATGATATCTGAGATTGGTCCCTTTTACCTTTTACCTAAACACGTGATGGACAGGATTTCTTCATTTTTTCATGTAAGATTTGTGACAAAGTTATGTACCGCACAGAACATTTTATTGTTGAAAAATACACTCTAGTGGACAAACTATGTAATGGCAACACTGTTTCTAGCATTTCTGTCTGATAGAGAAATACACCAGTATCTATATATCTGTGATAAGCCAAAATCAGATTTGTTGATAATATTTTCAAGATATAGCACTGATGCTTTAAAATGGATCTACCGTTTGTAAGTCATTGTTGTAATAGTGTTACAGGAAATAGTAACAAGAACACAAGAGCTATTCTTCATGGTGCTCTGGGACAGCCTAACCTTTGATGATACACACTTCGCGGTGCGTCTTTCAAGTACCAATCGGACTCTTGCACCAAGGATTTTAACACTTTTACAAAACACTGACGACTAAGTGCGGTACAATCAGCCGTTCTCCGAGTTGAGCTCATACCTCGTACATTCCGAGATGTCAAAATGTCCAATTTTAACGCCCCCTTCATGCAAAGAACCTTGATACTGGAAGTCACCACAGGTCACCAAACCTCCACTGGAATTTTTTCTCGATGCTCCGGGTGGCCAAGAGGGGCAGCTGCACCGGCCGGGTCATGTGTGAAGTGTTTAAAGTTTTAACAGCAAAAAAAAAAAAAAAGACATACAACAAAATGCTGATATTTGTAGCTTGTATAGATGTAATAATTACTCTGATATTGTTATTATTTATAATTGAAATAATTATTCCTATTAATGTTATTCTGATGATGATTATTATTAATGCTTGCTACAGATTTGACCAGTGGTTTACTCATTGTTTATCCATCACACTGCAACATGAAATAAATTATTCTTTGAAAAAAAAGAAAAAGAAAAAGGGGGAGTTGTTTGTAAGTGTGCGATTGTACTTTTCGCTGCTTTATTTGCAGAGGTGCAGAGGGTGTTGACCGTTTGCATGTGCCTGCCCACACACACCAAATCACCATCAACCCAAGCAGTAACTAGGCAACGTGACGGCCACTTTAACTCTGTCCATGCCCTCCCTCTGTCTCGCTCTCTCCCTCGCTCTGTGGATTCTGTATAGGGGACATGTGATCCCTTGTTGTTGTTGCTGATGAATTGAAAAGAGGAGCGCTGTGTGATTATTGTCAGCACAAAAGCCTCAAAAAGCTGCTGACGCCTAGATTAGCCAGTACAAAGATGCAGGGACAGACTCACACTCTCTCACACACACACACACACACACACACACACACACAGACACACACACACACACACACAAAAAGACATAGGTACATACTCACACTCATACACAAAGGCACAAGGCCTGTCTGCCCTTGTTGCCCTACCATCCTTCTCACTCCTCTATCCCTCCTCTGCTCATCCTCTTTCACCCCTTCATCCATTACTCTCTACTATTGCCCATTTTATCTCTCCTCTTTGCTTCCTTTCTCATAGGTATTATTTCTGTCCTCCTCTCACACCACTTACCTCCCCAACACTCACAAACACACACCATGCCCTCTGTGTGCTGGCGCCAAACGCTAACTGGCATTACACAATGCCAACCACCATCACCAGCATGACATAAAGTGCCAGCACTCAATGTGCCTGTCTTTTTTTGTCCCCTCTCTCGCGCTCTCTTTCTCTTACGTGCACACAGAGCATTAGCATTTGTGATGACCAGTGTGGGCCAACTATACAATGGTTTTATGGTGGGAGCTTACATCTCATTTTATTTAACCAGGTGTGTGTGTGTGTGTGTGTGTGTGTGTGTGTGTGTGTCTCAATATTTTAGAACCCCTCCCCAAATTTCACAAACCGTGTTCAGGGGCTCTCATTAAAGGAGTCAAGCTCCCCCATGGTTCCCCTGTAGTTTGCACCCTGGTGACAGTTTCTGTAATATTTGTTTCCTCTTTGAAGAAGTCTGATGGGAATCAAACTATAATAAAGTCATTCATCACTTTAATCATGACAGATCATGAACTATTCTGCCATAGACACCAGTGTTAACAACAGCAAAAAATGATTTGTGTATCTGCTCCAAAATGTGATGGTTTCTTCCTTGGCCTATGCTACAGCGTTAAACCAAGTTTCATGAAAATTGGGCCAGCAGTTTCTCTGTAATCCTGCTGAGAGACAGACAAATAAATGGCACCACAAACAGTCCACAGCCATACTAGCAGCTCTGTGAGGCTGGCCTTGAGCCAAATGCTAATTTCAGCATGCTAACATGCTCACAGAGCTAAGATCCTCATGTTTATCACGTTCACCATCTTAGTTTTGTGTGGTAACCTGCACATAAGAGAATGTATGGTGGCCTAATCAATATTGCAACAAATACTAAAAAAACTAAAGGTTATATTGTGGTTTTAGTTTTTATAAGGTTGGTTTCATTTAAATGAATAACATGCAAGCTATTAAGAAGATACTGACGAGAGCACCAACTCGAGACTTTATTTGTCAGCGTCATAATCAAACTTAGTGTTTCCGCTATCACCTACAGTCATTCAGTTTTTATTGCACAGACAACCCCTGGCCTCACATAGCTTACATAATAATAATAATAACAACAATTAAATGGTTTTCCATGTCCTGAGGTAAATAGACTTTAAATTTTGAAGAAAAAAAAGAGCGCTAGTATTGGAAGCGGACCAGATACGAGCTGAAACTCTGAGATGAGCCACCAGAAATGCTATCAAGAGAGAAACAGCTGGATCCCCACTCAACAGAAAGGTTTTGTAATCTGTCTCTCGCAAGTGAGATCGCTGGAGTGCCTCTTCAAGCAATTTAGGGATTGTTTTAGAGAAAAAAATGAGAATATTTCAGGTAGGGAACAACAAACAAATGAAGACTATAAAGCTTTTTAACAAAGTTTGTCACTAACTTCTTTGAAGAAAGGCAGAAATGAACATTCAGCACATTCAAATTACGGCAATCATGATCATCTAGTGTGGCGTTTGTGAAGTTGTTTCTCCTCGGTGTTATTGCTATGCAGCACTCAAAAGCACAGATGAATATAAGAGACACATTAAATAAAACTGGTGCAGATTTCAGCTTTAAGAACAACAAAAAATCCAGACGGGAGAGATGAGGGGGCATTAGCTCATACTGCCAAAGCTTTTCATTAGAACAGGAGGGGCTGAACAGGAGGTGGGGTCACTCTTTGCTCTATATGATCACACACACACACACACACACACACACACGCCGTCTGCCTGTGAAAGCACATCTGAGCAGCGCAACAATAAAACAGCTGTGTTTGTGTTGGCCTGCTGATTGTTTCATTCTCAATCACCCCGTCATACGCGCAAACACACTTATTGTCCGCTGAGATGGCATGACAGTGATACATCTTGGGTAATGGCTGCTATTATTATGGAGTAGGGAGAGAGTTTATTATGGAAGAAAACATCTCCTCAACGTAATTCTAATAGCTGTAATTGTCTTCTCTGTGTTAACTGCTGCTAAAGTGTATGTGTTTTTCACTTTATTCACATTTGCTGCCATATTGGTAGATGTGTGCAATGGCCTGGGATGAGGCAGAAGCACAAGTTGATGTCCATAGCAACAAAATTCCAATTTAAAAAATGAGAATATTCATAAAACAGCCCGACTTGTGTGTCGTAACTGCTTTCTATTAACCAACAACTATGTTTCTGGGACATCATTTACTGTTCAACAAAAAAAAAAACATTAAACATTAAGCCTTCGACTTTTATGATAGCAGTTTGAGAAGGAGTTTCACCGATGCCGTTTGTGACTCTCCCTGTGTTTTTCCCCTGGGATTTGCAGTGTGTAGGATGCACACACAAAATACACCAAGCGTACCTTATGCTGATAGGGGATGAGCCTCGTCTTTGCTATGATTGTGTAAAAGTGTGAAATGTGCGTGCATGAAGAAGGCAGAGAAAAACAGATGGCAATGACAGGGTACATGAAGTTTACCAGTATGTGTGAGTTAACTTAACTTAATTCTTAATTAACCACGTTATCTATCATTGGTAATGATCAGGGTTAGATGGAAATCCCTCTTTGTAAAGTTGTTGTCTTCTTTTATCAGTTTTCTATCATAACAAAAACACTTAGGGCTTTACAGCATGACAGTTGTAGACTGTTAAATTATATTTGGATATATTAATCCATATTATTAAATTCAAAAACAAATTAAACATTTAATCGAAAACTAACAAAAGCTGCTGTACTGTACTGCTCTAACAGGCGATACTCACATAAACACAGTGGGTGAGAAAGTTACAATACACTTGAACAGTGACATAACTTTATCCAGATGTAAAACCATGTTTTAAGGGAAATAAAAGGGAAAAGTTTAAACAGTTGTGGAAAATCTTCAGCTTAATTATTTTAGGTTGTTTGGAATTTGTAAACTGTTCATTAGACAGATTTTAATAGCCCCTGCAGAACTTTAGGCTCAAACTCTGTTTATTGTTGTATACAGCTGTGTACAGTGACAACTACAGACAAAGCTTCTGCACACTGTCCAGTAAAGCTGAACAACTAGTTGATTAATCAATTAGTCCATCAACAAAAAAAGTCATATGTCATTTACTGCTTTACTTCTGTCTTAAGTAGCAGTGAATGTATCTTATATACTTTTGATGGCATCAAATGTTAATTTTTTCACTATTTTCACTCATTTTACAGACCCAACGATTGGTTGATTAAGTGAGTAAATACTTAGCAGATTAATGGATAATGAAACTGCTGGTTGCCGCTCTGATGTCTAGTGAAATGAATCATAAGCATGGTACAACATGTCAGCTCGAGCATGTTCATCATGCAATCGTTGCATCTTTTGAACCCTAAACATTGTTGTCAGTAAAGTCCAGGAGATAAATGTATTTCTCTGTCTGCACTTTTTTTTTCTGCTGCACACTGGCAGTCTTATGAATTTTGCCATCAGTGTTTGATGTAGATGAAGAACCTCAGCGCACCATCTGACCTCAGACTGACCTGAAAGCTAAATCCAGCTCTAATTAGGGCTCATATGAACACATTACCTTGAAAACATCATTCAAATAAACGACTGATTGAATCGGACAATCGCTGGCTTCAACGATCACTGTTAGCTTGTTGAACAGACTTTAATCAGCCAACGCTGCAGGTTTATTTGCATCAGTTCTTTAAGATGGCACCCAGGTGAATGAAGCTAATTGTTTTTTTGGAGCAGCTGCCCCGACAGCGTTTTCGCTTCCTCCTCCCGACACGCTCTGCATCCTTCCGTTTCTCCATCAGGTCATACTCCTTTTCATTCATTCCCTTTTCAATCCTACAGCTTTCCTATGTCTGTTATGTAATATTCCAGCCATCCAGTCAACCATTTATCCTTCCAGCGATCCCTGATTTGTTAAATAACTTTTTAACGATTTTTTTTTTTAACGATCATCTATACATCCGTTGTTTTATATCTTTTTTCCATGTATCATCCATCCTCAAGTCAAAGAATCCATCCCTCCATCCTTCCATCTTCTTTTTACCTTCCCTCCTAACTCATATCCATTTCCTCCTCCCTCATTCCTCCCTCCATCCCTCCTTCCATCAGCGGTCTGTTCGCTAATCAAACACCATCTGTCCTTCCATCCCCAACCTGTCAGGAACAGCTGCCAGCCGCTCTCTTAACAACACTTTTAACAACCCTGCCGCATCTTCCACGGCCCGCCGCCACCACCGGGCGGACGTCGCTGACGAGGGCCACCGCCTCCTTTACGGGCACACGCGAACACAAACAGACACATGTGAGATCAGTGGCGTACAAAACCATGCATGTGTAGCCTATTAGAGGGTATTAGGTGATCGGGGTGTGAGAGTCACAGAGGAGAGAAGAATGAAAATGTAGAGGAGAAGAAGAGAGAAAGC